TACGGCACCTGGAACTTCATTTCTGACTAAACAAAACCTCATTTCTCGAGGTCTGACAACTACAAAAGCAGACATGAGTACCGAGGTAGGCATACAGGATATGGAGAAAAAGATGATAGTAAAATGACTACTTCACAATATGCTATTCTTGTAGAGTTAGATCAAGAAAAGGATGCAATAAGTCAGCTAAATCCTGACACTACTAGGGGAAAGGCCACCTCTGTCAACACAAGAAAAGCATTGGTAATGGTTGCAAATAAAAAGGAAACTCAGAGTAAAAATGGGCTGGACATAAATTTGAAAAATAACCAGCGAGGAAAAGATACTTAAGGAGGAAAAGGAGTTTATGTACCCAAAGGAAAAGAAAATATTAGGCCCAACCCAACATCTCTAAATGAGTCAGCCTCAATCTCTAATGTGAAAGGGAGAAATGAAGCATCATACACCTTTTCTTGGGAAAAGAAAAAAAGACAAGAAAAGAGAGCAGCGGACCAACGTGCCCATGTAATGGTTAATGGATCTCTAGCCTAAAATGAATGCCAAGTCAATCTTAAGCCACCAGAAATTCAACCAACCTTCCCCATACAGCAAATCTCTATCTCGACCCCTTCTTTACCTCACCCTATCTCAACCCATTTGGTGACACAAATTCTTAGCCCTCAAACTAACTTCTCGGTCTCCTCTTCACCACTTTCTCCAACAAATTGTCTTCCCCCTGCACCTCAACCACCTAACGTTATCTCTTCCTTGAAATTGAATAAAGGACATGCTTAATTGGAATTGAAGATTGACTCATTTGATTCAAAAGGAACTTATTATAAGAAGGATGTTGCCAGCCCTGTCTGGGACCAAGAGAAATGCTGAAACGAGTATGTACCCTTTTTACTTTTCAGTTGACCTTAATGATCATCATTTCTTGGAACCGTCAGGGAGCAGGATGCAAAGCTTTCTCAGGTATCGTTAAAGATCTTATTCAAAAGTATAAAGTTAACATCCTCTGTCTTCAAGAAACACGTATTAGTGGTTTAAAGGCTGATTGTGTTGTTCGTCGCTTGGGTTTTGATAAATGGATTAGACTTGAAGCCACTGGATTTGCCGGTGGTATTTGGATTTTGTGGAATAGTAATGCTTTTAATGTTGAATATATCTCCTCAAATGTCCAACTACTTCACTGTCAAATCTCTAACTTTTCTACAAATAAGCAATTTCTTTCTACCGTTGTGTATAGAGAAACATCCTCGAATAAAAGAAAAATCTTATGGGATTCACTCATATATCTCAATAACCGAATTACTGAAGACTAGATTGTGCTTGGTGACTTCAATGCATTCTTACGTGTTGATGACAAGCTTGGTGGTTCAGGTCTAACTTGGTCTTCCCTTTTAGATTTTCATAATTGCATCAATGACTTGGGGCTACTTGAATTACTAGTTGTTAGAGACAAATACACTTGGGAGGGTCACAATGTGAAAGAACGACTTGATTAGGCTTTCTATAACCTATCCTGGGAACTTAATCATCCAAACAATAAAGTGCATCATCTCCTCAAATTTAAATCAGATCACAGAGCAATTGCCATTTTGGATGTACTTACTCATAACTTACCAATAGACCTGCCCAGTTTAAATACCAAGTTGCCTGGAATCTTGAACCTGACTTTGTAAATCTTATTTCGAATGCCTGGCTGAATTGTGACTGGGTTGATGGTGTTTCTTCTTTTCAATCTTCTGCAAACTCATGGAACGATTTGAAGGTGGGTTGTACCCCGAGGACAAAAGAGAAATCTTAAGGAGGCTAGATGGAATTGATCATGCTTGGGCTTTAAACAAGTCTAATGGCTTGGCTAAAATTGAGAAGAAGCTTTGGATGGAATACACAAAGCTAGCCACACAGGAAGAATTAATTTGGTACCAAAAATCTAGATGTCGATGGTTGTAATGGGGTGATAAAAACACCAAATTCTTCCATGCCTATGCTGTTATCAAGAAAAGGAGAAAAAGGATTGAGGCATTAAAAAAATGACGCGGTGACTGGATAGAAGACTCTGATTCCTTGAAATCTATGGCCTTAGAGTACTATAAGAATTTATATTCCAAAGATCTAAATGTCATACTTGATTCATCATGGCTTAATTACTTCCTCAAATTGATAGTCAGACCTTCCTTTATCTCAATTCTGATGTTATTGATAAAAAATGCAGCATTTGCAATGGACGCATTCAAAGCCCCAGGACCGGATGGCATTCAAGCACACTTCTTTTATAACCAATGGAATTTAGTGGGTGTCAAAGTTTGCAAGTTTGTGAAAGAATGCCTCTAAAATCCTAAACACTTGAAGAAGATAAACCAAGCCACTATTGTAATGATTCTTAAAAATGAACAACCTTCTAGACTCAAGGATTTCAAGCCCATCTCGCTATGTAATGTTAGCTTTAAAATCATTACCAAGCTCCTAGCCAGATGTCTCTAACAGGTTATGGATTTCCTTATTGACCCTTATTAATGTAGCTTCATTAAGGAAAGACAAAGCTGTGACAACATTATCATTACTCAAGAAGCCATCCATACAATGAGACGTAAGAAAACTGGACGGAGCTATATGGCAATTAAAGTTGATATAGAGAAAGCTTTTAATAGACTTGACTGGGATTTTATTGAACAAACTCTTCACATCATCGGTCTAAACAACAAGCTCATTCGGATTATCATGAACTGTATTACTACTACTTCTCTGCATGTTTTATGGAATGGGAAAGAAACTGAAACTTTTAGACCATCCCGTGGTGTTCGTCAAGGAGATCCCCTTAGTCCTTATATCTTTGTTCTATGCATAGAGAGACTTAGTTTTCTCATAAAGGATGCTTGTGTTATGAAAAAATAGAAACCACTCAGATTCTCCTCAAGAGGGCCTTTTATCTCCCATCTTTTCTTTGCCGATGATTTCATTTATTTGTAGAAGCTTCCTCTGATCAAATGCATCTGATTGAAGATATCATGGCAAAGTTTTACCTTGCTTCTGGCCACAAGATTAATTTGGCAAAATTTAAAGCGTTTAGCTCAAAAAATGTGCATTTCAACCGTGGTTGGGCCCTTTGCCAGATCTTAGGTATTGATCTCACACCTGATTTAGGCAAATACTTAGGGGTGCCTCTGATTCATTCACGAGTAACTAAGCTGACCTTTGCACCTATACTCCAAAAAGTCCAGTAGAAGCTCTCTTCTTGGCAAGGACATTTTTTGATATAGCTAGTCGCTCAGTTTTTATTAAATCAGTTCTTTCAGCGCTTTCTTGCTATTTCATGCAACTCTGCTTATTTCTAAGGGCATCATCAAAGAAATTGAAGGATATAGTAAAAGATTCCTTTGGTCTCAAAACCCTTCTAAACAGAAAATGCACTTAATATCTTGGAAGATGGCAAAAGAGAGCAAGCAACACGGAGGAATGGGATTCAGAGACTTATTTAGTCAGAATAAGGCTTTCATCATGAAACTTTGTTGGGGGCCCCTCACACAACCTAATCTCCTTTGGGTTAAATGCTTGAAAGCAAAATAAAGATGTGAAGACGATCACATTCTGTCTATATGCAAGAAATACAGCCTTTCATGGATTTGGAAGAGTATTACGACTGTTTGGGACTCTTTTTCCTCAGGTATTGGTCGAAGACTGGGAAATGGCCTTAATATGAGATGTTGGTAGGATCTGTGGTCCCTTTTAAATCGTCTCCTTATCACTTTTGTAGACAAAAATCATCATCTTCTTAATCCTTGTGCATCAGTCAAAGACTTTGTTCTCCCTAATGGCTTTTGGAATATCAATGCATGGAAATGCTTCCTATCGGACTGGGTCGTGAATAAAATTTGTTCCATACCTCCCCCTTGTTCCATTAATGAAGATTCTTATTATTGGAGACCTTTTGCAGATGGCAGGTTTAGTGTAAAATCCGCTTATAAATTTATCTATCATAACAGTGAACCTGTGGGAGAACCCATTTGGAAAAAGATTTCGAAATGTCAGATCTCGGAGAAAATTAAATTCTTCCTTTAGCAAGCACTTTATGAGAGATTAAATACTAACTCACTCAGAGCCAAACTTGGGCTTTCACCCACTGGTGAATGCCCCTTTGAGTGTCATAGTGAGGAGAGTGTCATACACATTATTCACGACTGCCAAATTGCCCCAGATTTTTGGAAACACTTGATTTCGACTAACCAGTACCCTAGTTTCTTTCAATGCAATTTGCAGGGTTGGTTCAATTGGAACTCCAAGCACAATTCAGCCAACAATACCTTCTCTAAATGGCCTTGGACGAGAATATTTGGATCAGGATGCTGGCTACTGTGGAAAATAGGTGTAAAGCCATTTTTGAAGGAGCAAGACTCATTGCCTAAGAGCTAGTTCATAGCTGCCTCTTTCACATTCATGAACATGTAGTTTTTGGGAATCTCAAACATGTTTTTTCCAATCTCGTTGCAATGGAGAATACTTGGATGCCACCACCAGAAAATACTGTAAGAGTTGATGTGGATGCTTCAATATCACCTTGGAAGAATGCCTCATGTGGTGGTTTGATTCGGAACAACAAAGGTGAATGGATTTGTGGATTTAAACGTGTAGTGGGAGGTATTCCAATTGTACTTGCAGAAATGATGGCCATCAAAACTAGATTTAAGTTGCCTTCCAACTTGGATTTAGCAAAATTATTCTTCAATATAACTCATTGAATGCTATTAACATGATACTACGAGACTATGTAGTAGATCATTCTTGGAGGATTGATATCAATGATATACGAGATCTCATTTATAGCAACAGAGAGGTGGAGATTCATCATGCTTACCGAGAAGTACTGCAATGTGCTGATTATTTGGCAAAACATAGCTATTAGATTGATATAATAGTTGAATTCCTTCATGTAATATCACCTGATTTGCACGCAATGTTGCGGATAGCTCAAATATTACTTACTTTGTTGTACTTTCTTCAAGCCTCAGGCTTGCCTTTCCATTCATCAAAAAAGAAAAAAGAAAGAAAAGAAAGAACGAAAGAAAAGCAAACAAAGAAGAGAGCGAGGGAGAGGGAGAAAATTGCCTTGAGCAAGAAGAAAAACTCCCAACTCGAATGTAACTGGGGACTGCAGAGCGGAAACGGAAACGGAAAGCCCTTGCTGAATCGGAAAGACGGAAGCGGCATCGTAGAATATGTTCAGAAACCAGTACGACACGGACGTGACGACATGGAGCCCAGCCGGGAGGCTATTCCAGGTGGAATACGCGATGGAGGCAGTGAAACAAGGGTCCGCCGCAATAGGGCTCCGATCTAAGACCCATGTGGTCCTCGCTTGCGTTAACAAGGCTAACTCCGAGCTTTCCTCTCATCAGAAGAAGATCTTCAAGGTCGATGACCACATCGGAGTTGCCATTGCCGGCCTCACCGCCGACGGTCGAGTTCTCTCCCGTTACATGCGATCCGAGTGCATCAACTACAGCTACACCTTCGATTCACCGCTTCCTGTCGGTCGCCTCGTCGTTCAACTCGCCGATAAGGCTCAGGTCCGTTTCTTACAATGATCCGTAGATTTTCTGTTCAATTTTCCCCATCCTTAACTTTTATGCTTACTCTTGTACAATTCAATGAGGGGGTCGTGGTAGTATTGGTCGTTAAATCGCGGACTACATCTAGGTTTTGGGCTGGAGCAGCAGTTTCTCCCCCTTCCATTGTATTATATCCACTTAAATACCATGGGATGAGAGGCAGTTCTAAGAATCTAAGATGTTGGAGCCAATGTCTTCGGTGAGTGGGGGAGTTGTAAATAATTGAGCTGAGAAAAGAACCAAACGCTGGACTTCTTGTGCAGCTTGGATTTCTAAGGGCAAATAGTCCAGTTAGGCACTTGAACTAGGATCAGTATGCGGAGTTTGGTTGTTTTCTATGTACAGCTGAAGTGAAATTACAGGGTTGATGGTCTTCAAATTTTTGGGAAACATCAGTTAACCATCAATCACCAATGCTAGCTTTTTTAAAATGTGGAAATTAGGTCACTTGGAGGAAACTTGGGCAGTGTTCAAGATCAAACGCACTTCATGTAACCCAAAAAAAAAAAAAGAATTAAAAATTCCAGGACTTTTGGATATATTGCATTCAGAAACCAGAAGATGCCCGCCTTAGTTTGTCTAGGGGATAAAAGAGACCTGACGGGTTGGGGTATGTTATTGCATTTTTAGTTCCTTATGGTTTTATTTTCGAATTATTTCTAAGAGTTGACGTTGATTATAGTGTTAGTGTGAAATTTCTTGCGCTAAACAATTTTTTCCCGAAGCAATCAAACTATTTATGCTGAAGAGTACTATAAGGTAACGTTCAATTCCTTCTGCTGGAATCCCACGTAATATGTTGTTACGCTGTTGTCTCTGGACTCTGGAGTCCTTATCTCAAGCAAGGGATCCGTGCACATTTGTAGATTTACAATTGTGTTTAACACCGCCAGACATTTGTTGATCTTCCATTCTATGTGGTGACCATGTGAATGATATTTTCTCCCTGCGCCCCCATCCCTGCCCCCAAAACCAAACAAAAAGGAAATCATGGCCATTGACCAAGGTGTTTCTATTATAAAGGGAAGTACCCTGATGCCTAACTGTTTGGATTCATCTCTGCATTTGGAAATAATGGTTTAAAAAATTGCAATAAAAACGGATGACTAGGATAACTTTGAATTTAGTAGTTCTCTAGTTTGATTGCCGAAATCTTGATTAAGTTGTCCTTATTAAGCCAAAAGCTTTCATGGATATTAAAACTTTGTCGGACTGGTCAATGACGATCTAATTGAACTGCAATTAGGTCAGGATGGGTTAGCCATTGGCCACTAGTTCTAACTACAGCAGGAATCTGCGTACATCATCTTCTTTTGTTGAAAACTATAAATGTCGGCACTGTTAATGTATTTGTTTGGATGTGATTATATGGACCCGAAACTGAAATTGGTCTGGTCTGTGATATCTAGTTTTCAATTTTATTTTCATTTTTTGGTTGTTTGTGACACAATTATGCGGCAGGTTTGCACGCAACGGTCATGGAAACGGCCTTTTGGAGTTGGTCTCTTGGTAGCAGGTTTAGATGGCTCTGGAGCTCACCTCTATTACAACTGCCCCAGCGGGAACTACTTTGAATATCAGGCTTTTGCAATTGGATCTCGTTCACAAGCTGCAAAGACATATTTAGAACGCAGATTTGAGAGCTTCACGGTCTCCTCACGGGATGATCTGATCAAGGATGCACTCACTGCTACAAGGGAAGCATTACAAGGGGAAAAACTCAGGAGTTCTATATGTACTATTGCTGTGGTTGGAGTTGGTGAGCCATTCCACATATTGGATCAAGGAACTGTACAAAAGTTGATTGATGATTTTGAGATTGTGAGAGAGGAAGAAAGCCCTCCTGCTGAACCTCAGCCAACGGCTGAGCAGGTTGCTGCTGCTGATCAGGGTTCTAGTGCAGTTCAGGGTGCTGCAGCAGACCAAGGAGGTGTTGCTCCAATGGATATTTGATGATTTAAAAACAAAAACCGTTGTCATGTTAGAGATGAGCAGTCATTATGGGAGTTTGGTGGTTTTGCCGCCAGTCCTTTCTGTTTCTGCAATTTTACCGCAGCACATTATTGAAAATGATTTAATGCCACTGTTGATGGACATAAAAGATGCGATCGAAGTTACAGTACAGGATATAATCCATTGACAATATGCGGTAAAAAATGATAGGCAACCCGGTGTTTGGGTTGTAGCATCCTGAATTTTGGAAAAGTTGGCCAGACTTAACAGTGTCTTTATCTGGTATGATAATTTTCATTTTCATTCGGATGTCATCTCTTTTATATGCTATAAATTGTTGTTTAAGGACTTTATCTTTTTCTCATGCCTTTTAAGTTTTAGGTTTTTTTTTTTAAATGAAATTCGATGCCCAAATTCATAGTTAAAATAATGATCTAGTCATGATATGGCTGAAGTATCCTTTCCGATGATGCATGCATTAATGTTGTCATTTAAAAAAATTATTTAAGAAAATAATTTGAATGGGGGAAAAAATGAAAGAGATTCTTCTCCCGTATGCTGCTTGACTGGTTTGCTTGCCTGCTTCCCTTTCACTGTAAAAAAACTAAATAAAATAAAATAATCTCAGGCTTCTAATGTCCGTCTTTTCACTCGGAATATCAATTTTGGTTGCCTCTTAAGATCGGTGTCAGCGGAGCTGCGGAGGTAACTCCAAATCGTATTTCTAAATTTATTTTTTACGTTCGGAAACTATTGGAAATGGGGTCTTCGGAGCTTTTAACTTCTAAAATAACTATTCTTCTATTCTTTTAGTTGAAAGATTAACGGATTTTCAAACGCACTCGTCTCTGAAACTATTATTTTTAAGGCAGCTCGTCCCCCCCCCCCCCAAAATTTTAGAACTATTATGTGTGTGTGTGTGTGTGTTGATAAACTAGAAGTATTATATTTTATTTGATGTTAATAGTTTCATTAGAAGGAAGTGAAGTGAATGTCTCCGCCAATAATCAGTATTTGTAAACTAGAACTATTATATGTTACGACCACGGTTTGCTGTTTCGAAGGTACTGACATGCCTCTTTTGTGAATTTGATTTACAAGTCCATTTATTTGTATTTAAATTGATAGTGAAATGGAAATATTGTGATGGCTATTGAAGTTTTATTTTATTTAAATTTACATGTTAATTTGTTATTTTAACATCTATTTTACTTCTACATTTAATCTTAACAAATTTAAAAACATTTGAAGGTAAGACATTGTGAACTTTTGATCGATTTTTACAAATTAGAAAGCATTAATGACATGACATTGATTTAATTATGTAACACGATCATTTGATCTAGAGAAAAATCATCGACCGTGATTAGAGATGGAGCCATGCAAGTGGCAAGTCAATGGCAATGTTATCATCCTTCTTTATTGAATTAAAGATCAAAGTCATTGCAAAAAAAAGTTGAGATTCAAAGCAGATAACTGGCGGAACTTTAAATTGGTGCTGGCATCAGAGGGCGGCGCGTCCAGATGAAAATATCTTGCGAACAGCCTCATCTGGACAAATGAACAGTTAAAATACATGCTCGTAAGATTGAAAAAAAATCATGATCTATGTCACCTTACAATACTATCATGATAACTTTAATATCCTATGTAAGATCTAGTCTTCCACGCCTGAATCAAAGCAGGCAGCTCCAACAAGGAATAGCTGCCACGTTCGATGGTGAAAGATGAATTATAGCAAAACAAAAAGTCAAGTAAAATGGGGGCAGGAGATTTCATTTGGATACGTCAGGAGAGGGAGTGGGAAGGCCCTTTATCTGCATCTGCTTGGTCATCCACTGCCAATTCTCCAAGGTCACCTCTCCCCCAAGAGAGCGAATGACAGCCCCTCCACTGCAGGCCCCTACTTTGCAGCATTCTTCTAAGGACAGTCCCTTTATCACTCCATACAAAAACCCACTCGCAAAAAGGTCCCCAGCTCCCGTTGCATCAATTGCTTTTGCTTCCCCTATGGCTGGCACGCGTACTATCTGACATTTCAAACAAACAACTTCCCTTGTCAGACACTGATCTTTCAGAATCTATACTAGAATGCTACTTAGCTGACTTGATAACCTAGTGCTAAAAACTCAACCCTTCCCCCAAGATTTTTTGAGCGCTCTGCTTGATAGTTGTCATGTTTCTACTGTTACTGAATCAATGCCGATGGGTATGGTACATATCATTGAAGGTTCAGTCTAAGTCAAGCAGAATGGAGGTTTTTTAACGTTCCTTCGCAGAGGACTAATCATTTTTAGTTCGCTTGCATATCTATGTACGTGGTCAATGCGCATAATCTACCCACTTATCCTTGTTCCATTGAGGTGGAATTAATAACCCCAGCTTAAAAGTACAGTTAATTATGGTCCCATCTGACAAATAACAAAGATTTAACTCTTCCCACTTAGCTCACATCCACAGCATGCCCAACCGTGCAATAAACCTGCCCCTCATTGTCCCATGAAAAGGGTTGGGGGGGGGGGGGTGGAGAGTATACAAATTTTGGGAGGGAGGTTTTATATGATATTTGACAGTTTCACAAAAATAATGAACACACCTCCTTTCCATGTTTAGCAATGCATCCGTTAGCACCTAATGTCACGACAGCCCACTGGCAATACTTGGCCAAAAATTCCACAGCAGCAGCTGGATCAGAGTTCTGTTCGCCCCTAAATCCATTGCACAATAAATTGACATCATGCACACAAAAGATATACACCTAAATCCATTGCACAAAACATAAAGTGAAAAAAGACATTAAACATCTTGGAAAATGTATCTTGTATGAAGCTGGCTTCAAAACGAAAAGGTTATCCACCTTAGCAGCTCTGTTGCCTCATCCTCATTGGCAAAGCAAAGGTCTATATTCCCAGACTCCAGCAACTTCAAAAGAGGTAATTTAAAGTTCCGGACCATCTTGTCAAAGTAAAGAGACCATATAAAATTGTTGATATTCAAGTACAACCATGCAATAAAAATGATAAGAAACATATCTTAAAAATGAAATACTTTCACATTGCTTGAAAAATTAACAGCCGCATGCAGTTGCTAGCATAGAAATAGATAACAATTTCTTTATGCAGCAAATGATGAAAAGAAAGCAAACATATAAATGATTTGAGTAAACTCAGAATAAGATTCATTGTAACCCACATTGGAATTTACTAGAACGAGATGAATCCTGAATGTCAATGAGTGAGAAGGAATACCTCAAAACTGGCCAAGTCCAAGGAAACAAGAAGGCCTTCCTGCTTTGCTAAATCAATGGCTGCTTGTATCACTTCTAAATTGAGCTTAGCGTATCTCATCACCAACCACTAAAAAAAAAAAAAACATATTTCTGCATTTAAGTTCACAAAAATACCTCTAGATGACTTGCTATTAGCAGTGCAGACCATAGCAAAACAAAGTATGCTTTCAGTATGCCAACAGTATGAAGTTTGTGGCAAATACCCCTTCATTCAACAATGTATTTTGGTAAAATGGACAGGAAGGATAATTCAGTCGTCCTAGTCCTTTATGAGTAGATTGCCTAAAATCGTTACTTTTAAAAATTAAGAAAAAGAGTCAAGTGGATAAACGGAATATACAAGACAAGAAGCTAAACACAAACATATCCAAGATGTCTTTGCTGTTTAAGAGGTCAACCTTGGAGCCCTTAAAATCCTCTCTTTTCAATTCTTCTGCCTGCAGATAGAAAGTAAATAAAAAGAGATACAAAGAGAATGTCAAACACACTAATATATATATATATATATATATATATATATAAACAAACAAATTATAACAGATAACCATATGCGTATAACGTATCCACGTCCAGCCTCACAGTACGCATACACCCACACATTTGAGAAAATAAATTCACGAACCTGAACTTTCACAGCATTTGAGAGACAGGGTCGCATTGTTCGGTTACCCAATTCGTCAACCAAGCAAACACACTGCACCAGGCCACTTAGTGGTTGACGTTCAACTTTTTTCGAAACTCATTTGTTATATATAGAATATAGAATGCGATGTAGAGCTAACCTGCGCGGTATGTCCTTTCTTTTTCCTCAGTCTCGAGATGTTTACTCCATTGGAGCTCATGTTATTGACAAATAATTGCCCCTGTTCATCATCCCCATATGCCCCAATAATTCCCGAAGAAATTCCGAACCCAGTAGTAAGCCCTCGAATTGTGTTCGCAACACTGCCTCCAGCCATTGTCTTAATGGGAGTTGGATCATCAGGTAAGGGGTGAGTTTTTACTTCCTTCAATATATATTCAAGCTCCTCAATTGCAACCTACATGCACAACATAATTCTTTACAGTCCATTCTACAGTGCCGAACAAAGTTAACCAAATTAGGTGCTCAAGCATCCTTTTGCAACAAGAGAGAATGATCAACACGAGTATCGAGGAACAACAATAATTGACGTTGGTAAATATAACGTGTTAATCATCACAATTTTACAGAATTAGACTCTCCTATTTTAGTCAGTCCCTGTCTGCTAAGCATGGAGCTGAGGTATGGCTGGAAATAAGCATCGATGAAGTTTTATACTTTCAAGGAAAGTGATTAAGAAGCTCGCGAGAAGAATGGAGGAATTCCAGCAGAGACAGAAGCAAAGGGTACAAGGGAGAAGGATGGTGATCGAGAGCAAAATTGATGCAAGGTCGAGCGAGCAGAAAAGATGAGTGATCCAAAATGAATTGGAATACAGCCGGCGTAGCAGATAGTGAACAAGAAACCCCCGGGGGGGGGGAGGTTTAAGAAAAAGCAGAGAGAAAGGCAAGAAATTAGGAGGAACAAGTAACGGAGGAGGGAGTACAGGAATGGAGCCGCCGCGTTCACCGGGGATCTGATCGAGCAAGGACCAATCGACGCGAGCGACGTGGTCGACGAGAGCAGAAGGCTGGAGGCCCAGGAGGAGAGGAACGTGAGCGTCACTGTTATTGTTGTTGTGGTTGAAAAGGGGTTCGAATCCCATGACGGACGGCGTTGTCTCACTCCCTCTCCGATGATCCGATCCGATTGGAGTGATGACAACAACTTCTGCTTCTCCCACTCATCCCCCTCCTTCGCTTTCCTATATACTCTCAAGCGCCGCTCAGCGGCATCTCTCGGTCTCTATTCTTATTTTTCTTTTTTTAAATAAAAAATACTTAAATTATATTTTTCACTTTTTCGGATTCACTTTGTCCACAAAACTAATACATTAGCTCTCGCCAGTGAATTAAAATCTGATGGCCTGGTCTGAAGGGATGAATCACCCGGCCTGGCGTCTTGATCTATCAGAAAATAATAAACAAAATAGTCCAAGCAACGCCAAATTTCGCAGAGGGACTGTGTATCCAGTGAGCACTGTTACTGGTGCCCGAATTGCCCTAGTGGGATTCCGTTGACGCCAAACATACTTCATTATTACTTACCATTACTGGTCCCCGGAGGCAGCCTCTCCCTTGAGATGCCTCGTGCTTGTATGCACGCCTCCCTTTTTGCGCCAAGATTGTCTGGGAAGAATATAACTTTGAAATTCTTCCCAGCATGATTGCTGCATGGACGATAGGGATATAATATATTATCCACTATCACTATTACAGGGTGCATAATGAATTAGTGATATAAAGAACTCTGACCCCTCCTTACGTTTGTTTCACCTAAAAGCAACGGATTTGCCCATATGCACTTAAAGGGGAAAGACAATAGCCTCGGATAAACAAGTAACTGTTGATGATTAAAGTTTCTCGGCCGACAGGTGCATCGAATCAATAATTTAAAAAAAAAGGTGGGGGGGGTAAAAGAGGTCGAATAATCAATCGAACGTACTTCTTCCATCTATAAATATAAAATTTTTTTTATAGAATTTAATATTTAAAAATAAAAAATATAAATTATTTTTAATTTTTCAAAGTGTAATCATTATCATTTTTTAATAGTTTAAAAGTAAGTAATACTTTATTGAAGAATAAAATTCAATTAAAAATACCTTATATTTTTTAATCAAACATTTATTGTTATGAGTATACAATTAATGAACGGCATCATTTGTTAGGGTTCCAGTTTGAGGGTAATTTCCAAGTCCATGGGCGATGGCATGAAAAAAACAAACAGGCAATTGAATTGGAATTTAGTGCTATTAAGTTATCCCAGGAGGAAAGGAAAAGGATGATTATTGGCAGAAATCACGGAGAATCCTTTGGCCAACGCTTTTGATGATTCTCACCGGCCTGGCGGCCTCCATCCAAAAAGTACTCCCGCAGCTCCCATATTAATTTAAGGAAAAATAATAACTAAGATTCCTTTTAATGATATAAGTGAAATTTTTATTTTTCAAGATGTTATAATTTTTTTAAAATTTTCAAAGACCTTTTTGTTATTAAAAAATTAATATCATTGATTAAATTATTCTTAATTCAAATATTAATTATCATTCATAAATTTTATTTTAAAATTCATAAGTTTTTTTTTTTAAAATTACAAAAATTTAACTATAATTTATAAGTTTGTATTTAAATTTTAATATTTTTTAAGTGTTATAAATATCAATTGTCATTAATAAAATTTATTTTAAAATTCACAATTTTTTTTAAATTGCAAGAATTCGGAACTTGCAAATTTGAATTAAAGGATAATTTAATCATTCACTTTAATTTTTAATGATAGAAAATTTTTAAAAATTTTTAAAAATTATGACACTTTAAGAAATTAAAATATCATTTGTGTAATTTAAAGATTTTTATTATCAATTTTCTTAAATTAAATTCTGTGCTTTTTCTATCCCATTATCAATCTAGTGGCCAAGCAAATATTTGTGTATCTGAAGACAGTCCAACTGATGTCATTATAAACGAAATAGAATTCCAACGACTCAACAATCAATATAATTTCCTCTGTATTTAATCATTCTACAATTTTATTGATAAATTATATTGTTAAAAAAACACTCCAGTGGATCAGGGATGGGTTCGAGGCTTGAGCAACTTGGGAACGATGAGGTTAGAGGGGCATTTATTAAATTCAAAAGGAACGGCCAAGAGTCTCAATTCATCATTTAATTGAGCAATTATTAGATCCTAAATTCTGAAATCCTAGCGCCCTACGCCTATGCTCATGCTCAACCTTAAAGAAAGGACTCCAGTCAATCAGTATTTAATTTTTAACGCACTAACGAAACGACTGTGAAGGTTACTGTACCGTGAATCTCCCATTTTTCATCACCGTCATGCTGTCATTGTTATTATTATTGGTGTAAAATAGCCTAGTCTACTAACGCCTACCCCTACCCTATGAGCCCAAGCCACGTGCTTCCAACACACAACACCACTACCCACTGACACTAGTGATGGAATGGTGCTGCCAGGGAACGACGGGAACAATGGCATGTGACTGTCTGGTTGAAAGTTGCTGTTACATTAGAGAAGAATGTGAGCATTTCAAATTCAAGCGAGGCTCACAATTAGAACATGTTCTGGCATTTCAAGGTTTCACACGTGTTCCTCTCCCTCCATTATGTTATGCGTAGCCATCAACAAGAGTTGAGGCTGGTGAACTATCTCTTTAAATTTTATGTTTTTCAAGGGTTGGGCTTAAATATTTATTAATATAGAAAATAATATAATTTGTAAAATATTTATTACACGTGATAAAAATAAAGTCAGTGATATTGTTGAAATAGCACAGCCTCCTCCACATAAGACTTCTTCTAAAGGGTCTAACATTTTATTTTTAAATAAATATTGGTGATAATAATGGCTAAAAAATATTCATATTTTAAATGTTTAATTAAGGTACTTGGTAATTTATATATGTGTTAGTATAATCATAAATTTTAATTGAAAAAATTATGCAATCTTTTGAGCCTGGCTCTATCAATAAAAGTTGAACTTAATAAAAGTGTTAATTTTAAAATAAGAGAACTTATAGACTTAAGCACTTAAGAGCTGAACTAGGAGGATTGGCCACCATTTATTATTGACAGCTTTAATTATGGGCAAGCCCATCCCACCAAATTTCCTTCACTTTGTACTCCAACTCCTTTGACTTCCTCGTCTCCATTATGTGATAGCCTGAAATATTAACCTCATATGCATTGTAATAATAAAAAGACAGTGCTCGACAGAGGATGAAAGATAAACTGGCTGCAAGACACTTCTCTGATGTGATATTGAATGTTGACTTCACGATTAACGTCGCACGTACACAATATTTTGATACACCTAAGCTACGTGTAATAAGATCACTATTATTTCAACAGCTTCATGAATCAGGCCACGTCCTTTAATAATCACTACAATTGAATTGGATACATTAAACACTAGAGACTAGCAAATAAGCTCCTTCAAACTTCAAACGACTTCCGCTTCCAAAGTATAAAACAAGCTGAAATATTATGGAATAACTTATGCCCAGAATAGGAAGGAGCCGTAAGTCTAGCCTAAAACATGTATGATATTATTGGGTAATCCCTCTTCCACAAGTTTGAACGAAAACAAGAATTTCTCTTGGCTTTGATGCCACTTCAAGATAGGAATTAGAAGAAACATTCTTTGAGGCAGACTCATTTTTAAGAAGCCTTTTGTACTTTATTTGGAAGAACATTATCCGGTAGAATAAGCTCTGGTGGGGTTTCACGGACAACCCCAAGCATTGCATCGTACTCTTCATCTTTGCGTGCAAACTTCTTCCTCAGCACCTTCTCAAACTCAATCTCGTCAAAGGGCTTGGCATTTTCAGCTGCATGGACCTGTGCAAGGTTTGTATAATTGGTGGCCGATTGGGAGATAAATGCTCTCTCTTCATTGGTGAGCTTCCGCAGGAACTTTGCCGGATTGCCACCCCATACCTGCACCGAAGGCAAGCTTGTGCTAATGAAAGAAGCATAACTGAGTATTGCTTTTCATCCCACGACACATACTGATGAACCATGTCTGAAGACAATTATATTTCAAACAGAACTACAAGCACTTGTTAGGATAACACGATCATGCACTCAAATAGCTTCAGTTCCCCACCCAATCCAACCACGTAATAATGCTGCACAGGGCATTCAAATAATATGAAAATATTAAGATATCTGCTTTTAAACTTGGAAAGCTTTATACGAAGTTAAGTTGGAAATATAACATTGTACTGAGCAATATGTCTAAAACCCGATTGATTCTTGAATAGGTGAAGGTTCTCTGCTTCATAATTTAATGATCTGAAAATAGTCACTGCACAATTTAACCAATGATAATATATATAAACTTAATACATTAAAATTATAATAATAAAGAAGAATAGCAGACAAACACCAAAAAATCTTGCACTCTGATTACATACAAAAGTATAGCTCAATGTGGCATACCAACCACATAGACCTTTGCCCACCTATATCTTTATTCCAACAACATTTAGACAAATCAATTTATGATTTGAAAGCATTATAAATGAGATTAGCAAGGTTGTCCACTAATGCTATTGCATGCATATCCAGTTTGTATTATAGACAAGTTAGCTTCTGTAGGTCATGCTTCACTAGGTTAGTTGGGCTAAGGGCCTCTAATGTGCCATTTTCTAATGCTTTTTGTAATGCCCTGATTTTTTAATTTCATTTTTCAGTTTTCTTTGAATCATTGGCTTCTACATAAAATAAGAGATATTTTAATATCTCGATGTCCCAAAATGATGAAGATTTATATTTTTTTATAATTTTTCAAAAATAAAAAGGTGTAGAAGCCAATGATATCAAAATGTCTTTTATTCTATGTAAAAGCCAATGATCCAAAAAGAAAATGAAAAACAAAATTGAAAAGTTGGGACAAAGAGCATTAGAGAAGGGCACATTAGAGGACCTCTAGCCTAGGTTAGTAATATGCTAGAAAGCAAGACAGTAAATTTAAAAAAGAAGAGGAAGAAGAAGAAGAAGAAGAACTGTTAAGAATAATGAAGGACAAAGAAGCAAAATTCTCTCTAATTTTGCTCCATGAATAGGATATAAGTTTTAGATAAAGGAAATAATGTGATTACTGATAGCATACCTCTCCGCAGGGAATCCTAGTATTCTGTCTCACAAGGGCTCCAGCAGCAACCATGGCATGTTTCTCAACAATGACACCATCAAGCAGTGTTGCACCCATACCGACAAAAGCCTCATCCTCAACAACACAACCATGTAAAACTGCACTATGGCCTGCCCAGAGCAAAATATGAAATCTGGTCACAATGTAGCAGCATCTGTGATCATTCATTGCAGAAGAATATTCACTCACCAACAGTAACATTGTCCCCAATAATAGTTGGCAACACTTCCCCACTTAAATTTGACTTTGCAACATGCACCAAGGAGTTATCCTGTATGTTAGTCCAACTTCCAACGCTGATGCTGTTCACATCTCCTACGCAAAAAGTGAACATAAAATATTACCACCATGTGTATCTATAAAACAGAGACCTGACAGGATCTCATGATTTGATTTTCATTAGATAATCAAAGCCACACAACTTCCTTATATAAGAAAGCTGCTGAATTTTGAGATTCGTTTTTTGCAGCAACGGTAACCCCATAAAACATGGTGTACAACAGATTATTGAAGAAGATTGCAGAAGCTTTTGACAAATGAGATCTTTAGAATTCTTGTACTTTCCATTGATCAAGCAAACAATCTTACCTCTCAAAACACATCCATACCAAATTGATGATCCTCTTCCAACTTCAACATCTCCAATGATGGAGGCACTTGGGGCAACAAATGCCTCCTTATCAACAACAGGAGTCTTATCAAATATGTTCATCAGAGTTCGGTGCCTAGACACTAAACACAACAAGCAATAAGATTACTTTACATTTTTCATGGTAAAATAAATCCCGGTGAAGGAAATGAAAACCATAAACATGGATCAGCACACACACAAAGAAAGAAAGAAAGAAAAGAAACGGAAATAAATCAAATCACTCCATTTTCTTCATATCTCTTTCAACGTCATGATGCGAAGATAATTAAAAGAGGGGGAAAAGTATTCATATGAACAAAAAATGAGGACAAATTAGCGAATTAAGAAAACTAAAAAGTCCAAGCAAGATAATACATTGCTAGGGTCACAATATTTCAAATTATTGAACTGAAAGGAACTATTTACCAGCCGCATTGCATGAATAAATGTAGCTTTAAAGTATTGTATGTCTGTAACCACAATTTGGTATGAAAAAGAAAAGAATATTAAAGCAATCTATTGTTTGTTTTTTTTTTTTTTTGCCAGAAAAAAAAAAATTAAAGCAATCTATTGTCAATCATCAATATCCATCACATAATCATAGTCATGGATGCTAACTAGAAACTTCCGGTGCCAGGAAAAATATCCTTTGCCGACGATGTATTCATCGTACAAAATCGTTCATCTCAGTATTATGCCACAGAAGCTTTTGGTATTACCGGTCTTTCACTGACGTCTCAATGTGTTCGGAGACACGGAAAGGTGTTAGCACTGACAATCCAACAAAGCGACGCTAGTATAAGATACTGTCTTGTATTTAGAATGAACGCTCATCATCCTCGCAAAGTTTATGCAGCTATGCGATTCCAAACGTCACTCAATAAGCATTGATCTAGAACAGCAATGATTAACTTCGTAGGATGACGTTGATAAAAACGAGATAGCATTTAAAAAAAAAATCAACCGAAAAAATTCTACCTTGAAAGGGTATCATAGATTTTCCGATTCATAAACGAATTGAATAGGGGATTGGATCTACAAGCTCAGAAACAGAGTATTAAAGAAGGTATTACGCTGTTCTTGGAAGTAGTAGTTGCCCTGGAGGCGACAACCGAGCCGATCGATAGCTTGCCCAGTCTCACGAATCCAGAATCCAACGGTGTATATGGCTTTCCCTAAAGTTCCCATGTGCAATTTCCACTTTCGACTGTCAGTGGAGTCGCTAAGGGACACAAGCCTCTGCAAGCGCAAGCTCTGTTCGAGTTCGGCGTGTTCGATGCGTAATCAGAGAAGGGAATGGAAGAGAGCGTGGAAGGCCAGAAGGCTTCTTCCTAGTTTGAGTGGTAGGGTAGTATATTTCGCATAATGGGAAGGGCAAAATGGGGTTTCAATGTTGGTAAATTACCGAAATGCTACCGTTCTGTATAAAAGAAGGCAATACAATTGGAGAGTTGGAGGCCTGGTGTGTTTCAAATGGAAAACGGTGCGTTTCTGTTTCCCCGGGGAAGCAGCAAATCGAAATTGTGAAACCGTATGGAAAACGACCCTTGGTTCATTTACCCCAACACCATTACAAGAACCGACCTTGGCTTGCTCCCAGTCCAAAGATTGCTTGAGGGTGAAATTTTGACTCTGTCATTTATTGATCCTTGGATGGACTTATGTTCGGATTTTGTCAAAAAATGTGAAATTTTACCGGAATTGTTTTTTTTTTTTGCCTCCTTTTGGAAGATGGAAGTTTCATGATTCATCTTACCGGTGGATTTAATGACATTGATTGATTGTAGGGCTTGCATAAAAATTGAACCCTGCTTCGAACGCAAAAGGCTGTAAGCTTGTCGGTTGTGTTCAAGCTTACTCGGTTACTCTTCTAGTTGAATCGTTCAAAAAAAAATGATTTTTTTTGTTCATAGTTTCCCCCTTCTTTTAATCCTTCTAATTAGGGAGAAAATTTTCTTTTCCCGGGATTGCATTTCATTACCCGATTATGATTCACCTGCACGGCTGACTATTTTGTCACCTTTACTCCCACTATGATCATGGTTTTTTGAGGGCATTTAAGTTTATTATGGGAAGTTACCTGCTGGAGCTTAGTAGTTCTACATGGAAGGAGCTGGAAGCGATGCCTCCTCTGCAGTGGCACCTCTAGCTCAGTGGAGGCATGATTTTTCTAAGGCGTTTCAGTACTACTTGGATCGCTCTGCTCCTCACACCGTTCAGAGGTGGCTGGGAACTCTTGCTGTGGCTGCTATTTATGTCTTAAGGGTTTATTGTGTTCGAGGTTTCTACATTGTGTCCTATGGCCTAGGCATCTATATCCTGAATCTGTTGATTGGTTTTATGTCACCCAAAGTTGATCCCGAGCTCGAAGTCTTGGATGGGGCTTCATTGCCTACTAAGGACTCAGATGAGTTGAAGCCATTTGTTCGTTGGCTTCCGGAGTTCAAGTTCTGGTAATATCTAATATGATCCTTTTTAGGAAAGTTATTATGAAACTTTGAGCTTGCATGCTTCTTCTGCTATTGCTTACGTGGCTGGCCGAGGGCAGCAAACTAGCCAGTGAGGATGCTTTAGTATAATTTTGGTTCTGTTACTTGCGTATGTTCTGTTCCCACTTCTAGGGACTCTCATAAAGTAACCCTCAATGTTGGTGAGTTTTAATTGGTAAATATGTGTTAGTTAACCAATAAGACTCTTACAAGATAGTTCAGCTTTTTACTATTTAAGCCAACCATATGAAAAGTGTTTGCAAAGTATGTCAATTTATAAACTTCGAGGAGCTTCAATTTAGGTTGTGAGGGCCCAATGGATAATCGACTTAAAAATTTGTTCTAGGACAATTTTCCCATAAAGAGGCAACTGATAAATACTTTTCCTTAATCAAATCAAAGGACTAAATGATTGTGGAGTTCCCCTGGTTGTAATTGAAATTGAATGCTAGTTGAAGGAGCTGTAAGAGCCTATAGTCCCCCTGTTATGAACTGAATGTGTACGTAATTTCTATTTACTGAACTAACGTCAGAATACAAACTGGGTCCTTTATATCGTGGTACCCATGGCCACCTTATGCTATTACTCTAACAAAAGTAGTTATACTGACTTACTGACTATTAACTGTTTCGTAAAACAGAATATAAATCCATGGACAATTATACATGTATCAAATACACCTCATTGAAACATCTTTGTCCACAAGAATAGTGTTGGAAGACGGAGTGCAAGTGGAGAATTTAAGAAACTAGGTTCGCACAGAAGCTAGATCTTCCTATGTGGCATCCTTAGGTCTGCTATGCTGCCATTGAACCAGCCCCTGAGTGATAGAAAGGTGACCGCACTTAACAATTCGTCGGCTGAAAATAATCAAAGGTTCAAGAAGATATTGCCCATCATGATCAAGCAATGGTAAGCCCGAAGTGATAGGAGCACCAGGACCAACATAGCACTTCAAAAGGGAGACATGAAAGACAGGATGCATGCGAATGTTAGCTGGCAATTTCAATTCATATGCAACCTGATCGATTTGCTTCAAAATTTCAAAAGAACTAAAATATCGAGTAGTAAGCTTATGTAAAGCAGAGTTATTAAGTAAATTTTTCCAAAAAGGTGAAGTCTGAGGAAAATGAGATCACGAATTGCAAATTTGCGCTCTGAGCGATGCTTATTAGCTTGTTGAACCATGCAATGCTAGGCTTTACATAAGTGTTCTTTCAATAACTATAAAGTTAGCTCCATGAGGTCAACCATTTCATTATTGGAGTCACCAGGAAGATAAGGCAAGTGTATAGGGGGAGAGACGCCATAGACAGCTTAAAAAGGAGTCATGCCAATTGCAGAATTGTAAGAGGTATTGTACTAAAGTTTAGCCAAGGGAAGCCATTTGGCCCATTGCTTGGGAAAGTCACCAGACATGCACCTTAAATACCCTTCAAAACAACTATTAACAACCTTTGTTTGATCGTCTGATTGTGGGTGATATGCAGAAGAGTAGTAAAGCTTGATACCGAATAGATGAAAGAGTTCTCACCAAAACTTCCCACAAAAAATAGGGTCACGGTTTATGACAATAGATTTTGGAAAACCATGTAATTTCACTACATTATCCATGAACACACGAGCAACATTAATAGCAGTGAATGGATGTTTAAGAGCTATGAAGTGGGTGGCCTTGCTGAGACAGTCAACCACCACCAAACTAGTAGTCTTGGTATACGAAGGAGGCAACCCAACAATGAAATCCATGGATAAGTCAGACCAAATGTGATTAGGAATGGGCAAGGGTTGTAATAAGCTAGGGGAAGCAACATTTTCGACCTTAAACCTTTGACATATAGTGCAAGTACAAACAAATTTACAAACATCCCGTTGTATCTTTTTCCAATAGAAAACTGAAGCCAAGTGACAGTAGGTAAAAGTAACACCTGACTGTCTACTAGTAGCGTCATTGTGAAAGAATGTGAGCAAGTCATTATAAAGGTGACGGTCAGCACCTACCACTATCCTGCCACGTCATTTCAAGGTATGGTTGTCCCAAGAAAATTGTGGATGAGACAAAGGGTCTTGTTCAAGATCACGAATGAGCTGCTGTAAACAATATCCAAAGACCAAGAAGGTCTAACTTTGTCATGTAAATCAGTGACAAGAGCTATTATGGCAGGTAGCGAAGCTTTAAATTGGGGGGACAAAGCATCAGCAGCCAGATTATCACGCCCTCTAGTATAAGTAATCTCACAGTTAAGGCCTTAAAGCTTATTCAACCATTTCAACTGATCAGGTGAAACATATTTTTGCTCCAATAAGTGCTTCAAAGGCAAATGATTTGTGCGAATAATAAAAGTGGCCCCTGTCAAATAAGAACGCCACTGATTTACTGTAAAAATTATAGCCATAAGCTCTCATTTATAAGCTGATAAGGATTGCTTCCGTGGGCTAAAAGGTTTGCTTGCACATGCGATCTGATGGCCATTCTAAGTGAGCACAACACCAACCAATGCTAGACGCATCTGCCTCAATAACAAATTGCTCAGAAAAATTAGGCAAAGCCAAAATAGGGGTCGAAGTCATGGCAGCCTTAAGAGCGGAGAAAGCATCATTAGCTTTGAAAGACTAATGAACTAGTCACCTTTGCGTAACAGAGCAATTAAAAGTCTACAAAGAGTCCCATAATTTTTGACAAACTTTCTATAATAGCCGGTCAAACCCAAAAACCCATGTAAAGCACGCAATGAGGATGGAACAGGCTAAGCAGAGACAGCACTAATCTTTTAAGGATCAACTTCTACACCTCGCACAGATATTAAATGGCCAGGATATTCAATTCGAGTAGAAGCAAAGACACACTTACTAGCCTTAGCAAAAAGCTTATACTGGCGAAGAAGTTGTAAGGTGTTGTTGAGATGGTGCACATGAGAATCCCAAGAATTACTGTAAACTATAATATCGTCAAAAAATATGAGAATAAACTTCCCTAAAAAAGGTTTGAAAATTGAATTCATCAACCCTTAAAAAGTAGCTGGGGTCATTTTAAGACCAAAGGGCATTACAAGATATTCATATAAGCCCTCATGAGTTTGAAAGGCAGTCTTATGAAAATCAAGAGCATTCATACATATTCGATGATACCCTGCACATAAGTCAAGTTTGGAGAAGTAGGTGGCCCTTATAATTCATTAAGGCCTCATTTGGTATGATGGAAGAGTTTTTGATGGAATCGGAATCGGAATTGGAATTGAAATCAGAATAGAATTGAGTTATAAATGTATGTTTGGTATGAAGATGGAATCTGAATATAATATTAATAAATATATGTATTTAAAATAGATAAAGACCAAAATGCCCTTACAAAAAAAAAATAAAAAACTCAGACATCATGATGGAGTGTGTATGTGGGGCACTTATGACAATTCCATAGAATTGTGGCAATTCCATCATGATGGAGATTGAATTGAATTTTAGGTATTTTGGTAGAATTGGAATCCATAAGGAATTGGATTCATGCATACCAAACAATTAAAAGCATGATTCCAATTCTAATTCCATTTCTCTTGGACCCAATTTTAATGTACTAAATATGACCTAAAGAGTTCCTCAATAAGTGGAATTGGAAACTTAGTCTTGATAGTGTTCTCATTCAACTTTTGATAATCAACACAGAAGTGCCAAGTGTTATCTTTTTTTTGCACAAGAACCACAGGGGCAGCCAAGGGACTGTGGCTCTCTTGAATGATGCCATTGGCAAGCATCTGTTGAGCCTGTTTTTTAATCTCAGTTTTCTGAAGAGTTTCATACCCATATGGTGTGCAGTTGATAGGTTGATTGTGATGAAGGTGAATCTAATGGTCAAAATTCTGAGGAGGTGGGAGGGAATATGGTTCTTCAAATACATTTGAAAAAGAATAAAGAAGATCATCAAGTTGGCACTGGAGATTATCGAGTAGTGAAACTGAATTTGAAAGAGACATAATGGACCCATCAATTTTGTCTGACACGTGGACCAGAAAGGCATGTTGAGTGAAGGCAAGATCATTATCATGTAGTGTTTCCTCTGAAACAATACTACTAGTAGAATGGAGCCCAATCAACTCAAAGTACTTATGTTGAAAATAGAAGCCCATGAATTGTTCATTCATATCCAAAATGATGCGGCCCAACTTCTTTAACCATTGGCCACCCAATATAACATCAAAGCCCGCCAAATCTATAACCAAAAAATCATCTAAAAATTCATGGTCAGCCATGGACCATTTCAATTGTCGACAAAATCGATTAATAGTGAGCTTACAGCCCCTAGCAACAGCCACTCGAACCTCACCATCTTCAGTAATGGGTAAGCGAAGGCGCTTTATAATAGTTGTATTGATAACATAGTAGGTGCCAATTGCATCAACAAGAATGAAGACCTGCTGTTTTTTTTATGTTGTTGCAAATTTTTAACATAGAACACCCTTTCTTGCCTTCAACAGCGTTAATGACACCATCCACCTTATTGCTGCCAACTGGTGGATCAAGTTTGTCGGATGCGTCCAAGAAATCCTCCTCCAGTTCATCCTGAACAATCAACATCATTACTTGAGATTTGCAGCACTTATGAGAGGTTGTGTACTTATCGTTGCACCAATAACACAAACCCTTCTTGTGACGCTCCTCCATCTCTTTCTTGGTCAAGTTGAGTGCTGCTTTCTTAGTTGGAGGAAAGGTAGAAGATGTAGAAGTCCCACTCGTATCCAAGATAGACTTCTTCAAAAAGGTGTAGAACTAGAGGATCTTTGAGTATCTCCTGATGGGCCAGACGAAGTAAAAAATGAATTGAAGCAATGCACAGCCGGAGCAAAAGTGGCACGAGAAACTGGAGTGTGTTCGAAAAGTGCCTGAGTCATGCATTCTTGAAGTCTAGCCATTTGCATCATACTAGCAAGACTTGAAGGCTTTAAAACATCAATAGAAGATTGGATGTCAGAACGCAAACCTCCCAAAAACCAATCTAAAGCGACGTTGTTTGGAAGGGAAACCTCCATTGGCAAGTTGTCAAATGCTTTGATATGGTCGTCAACGATGGTAGTTTGTTGGAGTTTCTTGAGTTCAACCATCAGATTAATTTGATGAACCTCTGCAAAACAAGCCTCCATCCAGTGAAAATAATCATCCCACGCAATATTGAATTATCTATGACCCGCCATGAAATTAAGATGCCATTTCAGAGCCTTCTTCTCTAGATAAATACTCAATAATCGAATTTGTTAGTCAACTGGTATGCCGTTGACAACAAAAAACTGGCAACAATAATAAGCCCACACGCAGAAGTCAGTTTGCTATCAAAACGAGGAAATTCCACCTTACTATGCTTCATCGGTGCATAATAAAGTTGTGAAGGAGAACCATAAGTGCCAAATTGAGGGCCTAATTGACCTCGATTAGGAGTGCCAGACGAGCCCGCTGCATGGTCACCATGGTGGTTATGAGCAAGAATTGAAATCTTAGAATCCTAATCACCCAAACAAGCTTCGATTCAGGAGATTGACTGTTTGAGATCGCCAATATCATTGGTATTCTGCTCCAAGCGAGCTCAGCTGCTCTCAACGACAGCAACGTGTAGATCCAAGTGGTGCTCAAGATCACTAAAACGATCATTGGATTGTGTCTCTGGCGGCTTGGTGCTAGAGAAAGGTTCTGATACCAAAATGTTGTGAACTGAATGTTTACATAATTTCTGTTTATTGAACTAACATCAGAATGCAAACTGTCCTTTGTATCATGGTACCCATGGCCACCTTATGCTGTTACTCTAACAGAAGTAGTTGTACTGACTTTTTGACAATTAACTTTTTTGTAAAACAGAATATAAATCCGTGGACAATTGATGGTGTGGTTTTTGAAACACATTACTAGATATACTTTGGTGCTTGATGACCCATATCCTATGGCTAAACCCTGGGATGCTTCATTACATCTTGAATCAGGTGTACTAAGATGACTAGATTGTGTTGGCAATGGAAATGAAAATTATTAGAAATTTGTACTGCATGTTCATGAACCTTATTCATTGCAGAGGTTTTCTTAATTTCTTTCACTTATTTCTATATGCGTGACATGCAAACCAGCTGCGGAGTTTCTATTTATGAAGATAACAGAGGAGGGTGGATATGATTAATCAGCTTATTATTAGTTATCTATCTGTGTAGATTAGACATAAGTTCGTCCATGCTTGTTGGAGACTATTGTCAATCTTGTATTAAAATTGACATGCCCCAGTATACGCTAATCATTGAGGAGTGTATTTTAACTTCTGCCATGTTTATAAGTTCTTTGTTTCAATTTTCCTTTTCCTTTTAATTCTGGACCTGGATTTTTGTGGTTGGAAAAAAAAAAATTGATTGTATATTGGAGTTATTAATTTTTAATTTAGGTTTATACTTGAGCACACAGTTTAAGACAATCATTTCGGATTCTTTGTGCTTATATCTATTTTTTTAATTGCTAGATGAAACTTTTTGGTGCTTGTAATTAGCTACTTTATATTCATTTATCTTTCGTAAACAAGCCTATGGACCTAAAGATAAGTTTGCCGGTCAAAAGGTTTGTTATGCTATATATATTAAAGGTTTGTTTTAGTAATCCTATTTTATGAGAACAACTAGATATATTTTCCTATATTAAGTCTCAAAAATGAGTTACACTATCTATAATTTGTGAATAATATAGGGGCCTTTATATTTTATATAATGATGTATTGATTTAAGGTATATTTAGTGGGAAGCTTTCTTGAAGTTTGAATGGCAAATAAGGAATTCAAAAATGAGTTGCAAAGATCAAGTGCATGGATTTAGTTAAAAGAAAAGGCCTCAAGGCCAAGAAAAGGCTATGTTGGTTCATTAGTTGTCCGTTGTCACTAATCTTTTATGGTGAGGGTGACGTGTCACTCACTTCTCGTTTTATTAAATTGACCTTGCGATTTTCAAATTGATTTAAACATTTTTCAAATGGAAGACTCTGATTTCTGCTATTTTGATTTTGCATTAATCATTGTTCCAGGTATGCCATAACGAAGGCTTTCTGCATTGCCTTCCTTATGACATTCATATCTGTGCTCGATGTCCCGATTTTTTGGCCCATTCTTCTATGCTATTGGATTGCCCTGTTCATCCTCACCATGAAGCGCCAAATTGTGCACATGATTAAGTACAAGTATGTCCCGTTCAGCATTGGAAAGCAGGCGAGAGCTCTGACTGTTTGGCATTTCATGCCATCACCAACCTTAACTTGATCTCTATTTGATCTTCTTTTGTCTACCTAATTGAGTGAATCCTGTTCTATTGATTCTTGACAGAGATACTCAGGGAAGAAGTGAGGCATTTCTGGGGACTAAAACTTCGAAGAACTCCTTAATTAGGTCTGGACAGGAAATCACAGTTTAGGTTGTGGGCCTTTAGTAGTTGTTGTGTAGGTCAATCGTTCGTTAGAAGTCACAGAGATGGTTTAATATTTTATTGATTCCAATAATGACTTCTTTAGGAACTTTTTTCGTCTGTCCAAGTATCCTGGCCCTGTCCTGGTTGAGAAGGGAGTTATGAAGTTTAAGGTTTTCATTTCTATTTTCCGTTTGTAAATAAATTGAGTGTTTACATGATTCAAGTTTTATCACTGAACGCTATCTGAGAACGATTTCGGCAAGAAGAGATTCTGGCTTGAGGAATTTGCCAGAGAGGTGTCTGATTAAACCAGCGATGTCTATAACAACCATCCAACAACCGCGAAAACAAATCACTAGTTTAGTTGTTAAACCTTGACCCTGCTTATAATATTATAATAATAGCATCATTGTGAAATGAAATGCTAGTTTCACATTTTCTTATACAAATGTTGTTAAACATGGCCAGCTAAGAACATCATCTTCCACATCTCTCTCTTCTCTCTCTGCGAACCAGGAAATTCTTGTCTTATATAATCCACAAAGGCGTATGAAATAAGTTTGGTTGTTTACTTTTATTTCAACAGATGAGTGAAAGAACCTTGGTTCCAATATTCGTCTTCTGGGCTTTCCTCACAGTCATCACACCGACCCTTGTTCTCTTGTCAGAGAATGCAAAGCGGGACTTCGATCTATATGGTAAACACCGGCCTTCGACGATTTGCTATTTCTCTTCTTGCTGGAATATTGTCACCGACACCTGTAACTCTCTCTCTCTCTCTCTCTCTCTCTCTCTCTCTCTCTCTCTCTCTCATATATATTCCAATCTACAGGAAATTCAACGGAGGTAGCAGATGATAGGAGAATGACCGGTCAGAGAGAGTATCCTATCAAAAAACCAACGCCATGCGTGACGGTTGTAGCAGCGGAGGAGTTGAGTCCTGCACCGGCACAGGCACCAATAGTATCATTGCCAAGCGGAGCTAACTTGACGGCGTCCCACCATAATCGAAGCCTTGGAAGCAATAAAAGTGATCATGGACTTGCGCAGGTGTTTCCCAGGAAACACCTCAAGCAAACAAAATTCAGTCCTCTAGCTAGCAGCTGATGAGAATGGCTTTGGATCTCAGATTGAATGTAAATTGGTGAGATAAAACAATAATTTATAGCATCAATGCTTCAAGTTTAGATGTTATACAGTGGCTTGGCATGTGTTATTTATTTAGCAAAGGGACATTTCTTTCCTGTTGTTGCCTTCTTGGTGTGGAGATTTTTTTTTTTTTTGGGGGGGGGGGGTGGATCACCTGATGGCACAACAATTGGACAAAAAGAGTCTCACCAAATTTTGTACCCACTACGGGTATAATTGCACAAATAATGCCATGGTTTGTGAAAAAGAGAAGAAATTGACGTAAATCTGGTTGGTATGATTAATTAGTTCCATCCCTGGTCGCGATTAGAGATTGGCTCGCAGAATCCAGTCATCCATGCATTGTGGGTAAGCGTAGGTGTTAAAAACTTGCGGCATTGCTCAATCATGATTAATTTATGCCCCGCTTGTTTGATATGTTTTCACGTAAATGTTTAGCTTCCTCCTAACACCACCGCCTACTAACAAGGTTAGCTTTCTTGCATCAGACTCGCCAGAAATTCCAGGGTATCTGTTTTTTTTTTTTTATTATTATTATTAAAAAGCTATGGGGAACCCCTGCAATATAAAACAAGTCAAGTCATGCTCACTGATATCAAGCCTTTGCATTTTAGAGGTCGAGCCTTGGGAGTCGGAGGGAAGCCTCCTCCACTCCTCCACTGATAGAGAAGGGTAAATCTAGGCTATTTATATTTAATCTGAACAATTTAAATTTAATATTTTTAATTTATATTTTTAAAATAAAAATACATAAAAATTATACAACAATTAATTAATATGGTTATTAATCTAACAGTTTAGATTTTATATAAATAGTTCAAATTTTGATATTAAAAATTTAAATTAATTTTTTAGATATATTCTAAACAGTTATATTTTGAATAGAGCAGTAAATTTATTAAAAAAATTTAATATTAAATTTAAATCATTCATATTAAATCTAAATTGTCAGATTAATAACCATGTTTATTAAAAAATTTATAATTTTTATATATTTTTTTATTTTAAAAATATAAAAATTAAAAATTAAAAATATTATCTGTCCCACTATCCCTCCAGAGGAGCGGAGGAGAGGGAAGCAACTCCCGACCATGGCAGGTGGTAATATTAATGTCGCCAGAGGTCGGTTTCATACTTTCATTTAATTTGCTTTGTGCCTCCATGAAGCCTGGCTTCTCTCTCCATCTATAGCCTTCCGTGCTATTACTCTGATCTTATTTATAAGTCATTTTTAATATATTTTATCGATGTTAAGAAAAATTTTTAAAATTCATTAACTTTGTCTTAAAATTTAATAAGCTTTTAACTTTATCTTTATTAAATATACAAATTTTAATAACATATTTTCTCTTTCCAACATTAATGGAAGGTAAAAAAAGAAATTTATGATAAAAATTTAATGACATGACTCATAAATAGGATCAAAAAAATTTTTCTCTCTTTATTTTATAAATAAGACTAAAGCGAGTACCTCCATCCCTTACCACCTCTCTTAGGCCCAATTGTAACTTATCACATATTTCGGCCCATTGGTTCATGCCTCGTTGAAACAGTTACCATTGTTTTGGGCCTGTTTGTTACACTGCTTCTAATATTCACTACGAAATAACAAGCTTTATATGTTGGTCAGTTGGTCCAAAAGAGATAAAGAGGGGAGTTCATTATGTTTATTCTTTGGTTAAAAGAAAAAGAATTATGTTTATTCAAGTAATTTAAAATATAAAGAATTAATCTCCATGTCCTTTTATTTTCTCTCAATTTTAAATTAGATTTCTATAGTTTATTTTTATTTCAATTGAATTCTTATAATTTGATTGATTAAATATTTTAATCCTTAAAGGTTGAAATCCCTGAATTTTTTCTTTTAAAAGTGAAATTAAAATCTTTTTATATTTTTATTAAAATATTATATAATTATACAATTAACTATATAATTTTATCACAAAAATTTATATGGTTATGTTTTTTTTTAAATTTATACACACATTTTTTCATGAAAAATTAATAAAAGTTTGAACATTACATTAAATAAATTTTTTTTTTTTTGCTAGTAGTGTTCAATCAAATTTTTTTTATAAATTTTAAACATGTTTTTATTTTGAAAAGTTGATCATTCATAATAATTTTAAGTTCCAGGGATCAATATATATGTATAATCAATCAAACCATAAGATATTGATTAAAACAAAATAAATTACATGGATTTAAATCAAAATTGATGACAACTAAATAGATGTGCTGATTAATTTTCCCAAAAGATTTTAATCTTCCCGTAATGCTACACGAAGCACGAAAGCAATGCTTCTTGCAAGTGCATTTGATTTTTCTTGTAACTACAAGGACATGGACCTGGTGCATCTAAATTTTTCTTGGTGTCGAGCTCGAGACTTTTAAATTAAATCCTCAATAACTTATCACAAAGATTAAATTTGTTGGTTGGTGCATCTAAATTTTATAATTTCTTGTTAGGTTTTAATAATTTTTTTATCTCAAATGATGTGGAATGCAAAAATTTATGTTTTTTATAACTGATGACTTATAAAATAAAAAAACAGTGTATCTTTAAAAAAAATGAGGGAAAACATTATTTTTGGTCTATACACTAAGCTCAAGTTTTGTTATATATTCATGTACTTATTTGTATAGTTTTAGACAGAGCTAGTAATTTAAGCAGGTTGGGCTCAATTCAAGCTAGACTTATTTTGATCGGACTTAACGTACCCTACTCTCTTAAAAAATTCATATAGCCAAGCTTGACCTTGATTTTTTTTTTAACGAGTTCGGGTTGGCCCGTCGGTTTGGCCAAAGTTACCAACTTTATATACAGATATAATTATAAATTTCAATTGTCAGATTTATTCGAGTCATGCTCAATTCAAGCCAGATTTATTCAGATCAGGCTTGAAGTGTCATGCCCTTTTTAAAAAGCCTATATAACCAAACTTGACCCTGATTTTTTTGAGCGAGTTCGGGCTAGCCTGTCGAGCTTTGTCTGAATTACCATTTCTAGTTTTAGAGGGACATTGAGCTGTTAAGGTGATACAAATGATATTAAAATTGATAATGTGTTTGTTGTTCACCAAAACCATTAAATTGTGGTGATGTATTATATGAATATGGAGTTAGATTTTTTAATAAGCAAAATAAATTAAAAAAGCTACATAAAGAAAAGGCTGACATGGAGTTGAGAAAACCCCTCAACTTAAAATATCTCAAAAAATATTTAAAATATAGTTTAATCTTGATTTTTAAATTTAAAGGATCGCAAATTTTTTTTAAAAAAAAATTGAGTCTTTTGTTTTAAGTATCCTAAAAACATATTTTATATTTTTATAATATAAAAACTAATTTTAAAATTAATTTTTACTTTAAAATTAATTATTTTTATATTATAAAAATGTAAAATATATTTTTGGGTACTAAAAATTGTAGAAGGCTCCAGTTAAAAAAAATGTGAGTTTTAAAGTTTTAAAATCAAGATTAAAATACATTTAACTATTTTGTGAGATATTTTAAGTTGAGAGATTTTTTAACTCCATATCAACATTTTTTATCTCACATATTTTGCTTATTAAAAAGTTCAAACCAACACTCATTTAACACATTAGCACAAATTTAGTGGAGTTAGTAGACATGTCAGCAATCTTAACACCATTTTTATTATGTTAACATTCTTCAAAAACTATAATAATTAATGTTGCAGATGGAAAAAAATATAAAAATTTAAAATACTGAAAAAAATGTAAATATCTAAAACAAAAGTAGAGCAAAGAATAGGACCTAAGTGTAGTGTTTGGGGAGAAAAAAATGATGAGATATATAGGGTTCATATTTGTTGATATTTTTGTATCAACCCATGGGATGTTTTGTTACTTTATCCTCTGGTTCTGGTTCTAAATACAAATCACAATAGTTCTAGTGGTGGAAGAAGAATGTGCGCTGTGTATAAATAATATTCAAGTGAAGTAATGGGCCAATATTGTTACTCTAATAAAATCTAGTGTTTTAAAAATCAGACTGAACTGACCGGTTAAATCAAGAATAGGCTCTTGATTCGATTCGATTGACCTTTCAGAATCAGCCATAAGAAAATCAATCAACAACTGAAAAAACTTGTCAAAAATTGAAATAACCGATTAAAAATTGGATCGGTTTCCTTAAAAACTAGTCTGAATCATTTAAAAAATTAATTTTAAAGTAGTTAAAATGAAGAGAATAATTAATATTAATTATGTATTTATCAATAATATATCACTTTACCAAGCATTTATTAATAATTTTTTGAAAAATATAAATATTTGCATATATTTTTATTTATTTATGATACATAAATTAAAAATATATTAATTTAATGTCAAGCAATTCAACCATGGTTGAGCCAATGAACCATGAATCAGTAGCTAGTCTGATTTAATGATCGGTTTAATTTTTAAAACCTTGATAAAATACAATAACCTATCGCATTATTGCAATGGAAATTAGCCAAGCCTAAAATTCACAATGGTTTTCCAAAATCAAAAGAGACTGAAAATATCTCAGATGACTTGGTGTCTTAGCCTATCATAGTATTCGCGCTATTTTTAACTTTTAAGGTCACCTTGAAATAAAAACATATGCTAACACTCACGCATATACTTGATCTCCCTGACCAAATTCCCAAATAATTTAGAAAAAAATGGTTAAAAAGGACTCCACTAAATTTCATTTTGTTGAGAAGGACTTGGGACATAACGTCTTTCCCTGACATTAATTCTAAGCTTAAAATAACTAGATTGCCCTTATGAAATTAAAAACAATAGTTGAACAAGGTTTTTCGTTATCAATATACTAGCAGGAGGTCTTTCATTGTCCATAATTCGATGACAAAATATATAAAATATGGCCCTTCAGTGTTAATATGTTAAACAAAGTCAAACAAATGGAAGAAAAATTAAATTTTCATAAAAGAAGAGTCATATATGGTTGAAGGTGTATATGGTCCTAAAATATAACATTGAGTGTAAAATTTTCAAGATATTTGAAATAATTATTCGAATAAATGAAAGAAAAATTATATTTTCTTAAAATGTGGTTGCATATTTTAAAAGAAGAGTAGCATAGGATT